ATGAATTTTTTTTTGAAAAAAATGTCTCTTTATTGAATCTTAAATTCTTAATGTTTAACATCAGAGATGATCAATCGTTTCGATATTTTTCGTATCTTCACTAACGCCTTCATAACGTTACATATTCTCATTGTGGGTATGAAGCAATGAATAAGTAATCGATACATATATAATACAAACAACACAACCATTTAAATTGATTTGATTAAGTTGTCCTTTTGCAATTATGAAATTTTCATGCAAAATCTCCATTAGTCAACATATCATTTCTGTCGGTTGTTTTCATTCTACTAAACAAAGCTTTCAATTATTTAACAATTTTAGCTTATTACATACAATTTAGTTATTTTCATTTTCGGCTTGTCAATGAGATAATTTTAATCCTATCTATAATTTATAATATATAGGAATTATTTGTTGCTTAGTCATATCGCTTAGTCTGTAAGTTGTCTACTGATTATATTTTTGTTTTAGTATTCATGTAGTATGTTAAAATATATAGAGTAACCAGACTAATGACACCTAAACAACAGAATCTTGTGCACTTTTCAAATAATATAATAATGTATATTTATATTTTTTGCTGAAGTCTATTGCTTAGTTAACAATATTTTCTACTAAAAATCCAGCTTTATGCGCTTTATGTGCTGCTTCTATTGAACAGATTTTCTATATGACTAATACAACAAACTAGCGCGTCAAAAGTTAATTCACTAGAGAAAACAGACTACACTTGATAATACTGCAGCAATGACTCATCTATTCAACTGAATGACATAAGAATTACATTTTTTTTTCACTATAAAAATATCGCATTACCCCAGACTCAGATTACATGGATAATAACATTTTACCACAATTCAAGTCTGCATTGCCGCCATCTGTTTGTTATCAGTTAGAAAAAAAAGAGGAAAGAAAAGAGATAACTTTGATTTATGCCGATATGTAATACTGTTTGTAAGCTTACCTACTGAATTCTGAATTCTGATTTAGGATTTTGTTTTGTTCCATAAATTGGACAGAATACTTACACTTCAGTCAAATGTAGTTATCGCTAGATGTTTTCAACGTGAACACACATGAAAATAACTAAGTCGGTTATAAGAAAAAAATAAGTAATAATGGAGTTTTACGTAGAAATAGCCTGGTCATATTTTTTTTGTCAAATCAGTAGTGATCTTAGGTAAGCGTTAAAAACAAACAAACATTCGAACTGTTTGTAAGAGAGTTTGCAGTTAACACTGTATTGGTTTTGAAAAAAGTTCATTTATAAGTAGGTTTTTTTTTGCATAATTACCACTAGTTTCTTTGTGGTTGTAAGTTGGATAGAGAAACGGGAAAAACAAGGAACTATGGCGAGACAACAATTGACAATATTTACCGGTTGACATTAAAGCCGCCATAGCTTTCCTTCTTTTTTTAACGCTAACAGCAAAGTTTTGAAGATAAAATCATAAATGTCACAAAGATAGAGATGGATTTAGGCATTATCACCATATTTTTTCAGCGTGTCTACGTTCTCAATTGCTTTTTAACCTAAGCATTCGAACATGCAATATGGTTAACTTCTATTTAAGGTTTATACTCATTATATTGCTTAATCGGTCAGCTACAATGTAGGACTTTGTAGGTACATACATCAGTTCAATTTGCTGTACCAAATTAGCACATATAAATGGAATTTTCAAACCAAATCCCATAGCGATAGAAGCAGTAGAGAAGTATTATCAGTAAAGGTGGGAGGTTAAGGTTCGAAGATATTATTCAAGAAGTTTAATCCAGTGAAATGAGTTTTAAAAGGTAAAAAAAGGGTCAAGAGTAATTCAGAAGAATAGAATTTAAGAGAAGACAAACAATGCACCATTGCTAACGATTTCGAGCCATACAATTCAAAGTATCTAACCATCATCATATTGCTTAGATAGACAGTGGAGTCTTTTTCTAATTAAACAACAACCATAAAACGTAACTTCACTAAACTTATCCACCTTAGTTACAAATCTTCTTTACAATCTGGATACATGTATATTTGGATACCATATAAATATTTATTTTCTGTTGTCTTGTTGATATTTGAGATCTTACAAAATACACAGAAATGTTTTGAACTATAGTAACAATTCATTTGTTTTCGATTAGATCGTCATCAGGCCTTACTCTAATATACATCCACTTGTACTTTTGCCTATTATATGTAGTGACGTAATCTTTTTCATTTCATTGTGAATATCACTCTAATTGCCTTGATTGGTTTAACATTTTCATACATAAATATTCATGTATAGTAGAGTAAAACCTGATGACGATCTAATCGAAAACAACAATATTGTTCGCTTATGCGTGTTGTTCTAAATATTATTGTGTTCACAACCATTCTTGTCAGAAGATCCTATAATTAATAGGTTTAAGACATTTGTTGTTTTTTTTAGACTGGCAGATTATCGTTACTTATGTCTAAAATCACGGCATTTTTAAAGTAATGGTCTCAATATATATCTCTGAGTTACTATCCGTTTCTACTAACCTCAGACTAAATCTACATTCTGACTTGACCATAAGAGAAAAGGGGCGAAGTACTGGGTAACCGTTATACTCCAAAGTCTCTTAATGCACATAAAAGTGGGGTATTTATAGTTTCTCATGACCCTGGGTTTCAGGGAGGTTCGAGAACTATACTAAATATGGTAGCGGTATGGCTAAATATCCGGCTGCAGTCGTGGCACGCGATTCTGCATTTTCTAGATGTTTCTGCAAAGGTTCTAATCAATGCTGGTTGGGATGAAACGCTTCCTGGTGTTTTCGGGGCTCTATAGACTTAGCTGAGGAATATTTCGGGGCTTTCCGACATATATATATACATATATATTATAAGCATTTGATCTATTTTAATCTATTTTCAAGCGTTCTCCATTTTACATTACTTCAAAATAAGTATTTCATCAGTGAATAATACAAAACTTCCATAAAATCACTTTAATAAATAAGGAGTGGATTTTAAATAGCTCTATCCATTGCTTCATAATTTTCAATTGTATTTTAAACTGAGGTCAAACTGTGACGAATAGACCTTTTAGAAGATTTATTTATTTGCTTTTTTTTACAAATTATCAATGAACATCGATCGAATGGGAACTTTAACTGAGGTTAAGATAATTATCGATTATCTTACTTTATTCAGATATCAAAGATTAACTCAATGATCTTTTCTTTTTGTTTTCTCCTCACTGTCATCCTATTTGTGACGATTTGATCAATAAACGTTTTGTTTTAAGTGTTTATATGGTGTTCGCTTTTTTTTCAATCATTAAAATTTAATATTAGTAACTTGTTGATAATTTCATTTGCCAGAATAAACGATTATTCTTGATCAACTAATTCTTAACATTGTTTAAGTTGAAAACTTAGTTGACTAAGATTAATTGTCTATAATGAGATTTACAACAATGTATTGTCAGTTTTTTGAGTTGAAAGAGTGGAATAATAAAAAAAAATTTCTAAAACGAAACCAAACAATATTGATTTTTTTCAAATAGACTTTTAAATGATAACTTTTGTATTATATGTAAATAAACAAATAATAATTAATCAACTATCTATGAATCCTAATTGGAATCATAGATTGTTGTACTTTGTGGTCTGATATTATACCACCTGTACAACTGCATAAGTTATAGATTCAGTCATTTGGTCTTTTGTTGTTCTAATTAGGAATTTCGGGAAGTGAAGATTTTATTATTATCTAACAATCGTGTGAAAAAAACACAATGAATAATTGAATTTATTGTTCCAGACCGTAGCTGCTACCTTGATTTGGTAGTCAGGCTTGCCTATCGTGATGACTCAACTGAGCTATATTGGCTGGAACATATATTTCTGTAGGTTCTGCTATACCAGGCAGATCGATTGGAGAACAGTGAGACTAAAATCAGAAACTCAGGGTCTGATGGCGAAGTCGTACTGCTGACTGTGGAGAGGTATGACAGCACTAGGGTGTTTCCTTCGAACAGCCGGCATCTTCAGCGGTGCTGCCTTCTGTCAAGAAGGAAGGTGTTAGATAAGGTCGATCCTGAAAATGTCACTTCCAACCCTATCTCACGGATTTCTCTTTCCGGCAGTAAGGCCTTTTAAACAAGAGTGAAGCGTGCGTGACTGGCCTGAAGCAGTTGTCCCATGGGCTATGCTGTCACGCTCCTAGGTGTCTCAGACTAAGGTGAATCTACCCTCCTTTTCAGGTCCCTCAAGAGACAGCCTTCCACGGTGTGAGCAGCTGGGAAGTAACATCCACCCTCATATCCGTAACCCGAATTTATTGTTAGTAACGTAGAAAAATATAATGATCAGCACCTTTTTTTATCACCATCTTTCTTAAGAAAATCAACCCATAATTCAGATTTTCATTTTACCAAAGGAATCACGTTTTTTGAACTGGACTAAACAGTGACCTATTAATTAAAGGATTTGTTTTTCACTTAGTAAGTCATCAGTTCAAACCTCTCCCTATATATATAATTAAACACTCGTGATCAGGGAACTTGTAAAAATTTTCCTTCCCAGCTACAAATAGTCTCCTTGATAAGCTTGATAAACTCGATAAGCTTCAAATGACTATTAAAAATACTATTGAGAAATAAATAATTGATTTATGAAGGTTTGATTAGGTGGCTATCTGGACTCGCTATGTTTGTGGATAATGCATCGGCGTTTCAAGCAACAGATAACATGTCGAACATTACATCTGAGAAGTGAGTACATGCTGAGGACGAATCCTGTTAAGGGACGAAAGGCGTGTCCTAGACTTCTTTGATATCCATAATTCAACTGTACTCATTGTTGAGTAAATATCGATTTCCAATGAGTTTTTGCTCTATATATTTTATATATAATTTGCTTTAATCTTTTAAAGATAACCGAATTTTTTTCTCTAGAACAAACAAACAAAACAAAATTCCTGTATACTATTCTTTCTTTCATTTATTCTCTCTCTATATACATTTAATAAGGTACATTTCAAAGTACGATTTGATGCAAAAGATTTTTCACCAGAAGATATTGAAGTGACCACAGTTGATAATCATCTTCGAGTTCATGCTAAAAAATCAATTAAATCTGGTAATTCAACTAGTGTACGTGAATTTCATCGTTCTGTTGATTTGCCACGTTCAATTGATCATGAACATTTTCAATGTCATTTGACAGAGGTAAGATTAATTTTATTTTTATATATTATTCATAATAATTGGTAATCACATTGTAAATGAATATATGTTGAAGGATTATTTATATACTTACTTGCTTACTTACTTGCTGAGTAAGACCTATTAACCCTAATGGAACATAGGCTGCCGACCAGCATTCGCAGACCAACTCTGTCCTGGGTTCTCTCCCTTCAAGTCCTACTCAACTGTTGTTCATTCGTTTCATGTTTGCTTCCATTTCTCAACGCAATATGTCCTTTTGTGTACCAATTTTCCTTTGCCTTTGATGATTCCAAGTGAGGGATTGTGTCTTGACGCAGCTGTCTACTTCTCGTTATGTGTGTCCTATCTACCTCCTGCGCTTTGCCTAATTCCTTCTTCAGCTGCAATTTGGTTTGTTCTCTGCCAAAGTAGGTTGTTACTGATGGTTTCTGGTCAACAGATCCACAATATCTTGTGTAGACAACTGTTAATAAATACGCACATCTTTTAGATGATGGCTTTCGTAGTTCTCTAAGTTTCCGGCTCCATATAATGGAACATACTTGATGTTCGTATTGAAAATTGCGATTTTGGTGTTGATTGATAGTTGTTTTGAATTTCAGATGTTCGTCAGTCGTAAAAATGCTGCCCTCTCTTTGCCAATCCATGCCTTTAAATTGGAAATCGAAATTTTCTTGGTATTGATAGTAGAGTGATGACTGTGCAGTTCTCACACTTACTAAACTCACCTTTCTTCGAAATCTTGATTAGGTATCCTTCTTTCCCGTTTGTTGATACTTGTCCTTCTCCCAAATCTTGTTGGAGAGGATGTGGAGTTTCTTTGCAGTTGCTGCCACATCTGCTTTCATTACCTCTACTGGAATGTTGTCTGGTCCCGCTAATTTGCCTCTCTCGATTTGTCTGACAGCTATACCGATCTCTTTAACTGTGTGTGGGTCAGCACTAATTGGAAGGTCCATGGATGCTGCTTCGATGTTGGGTGGGTTCCTTGGTGCTGGTCGATTCAAAAGTTCTTTAAGGTCCTCCACCCACCCGTTTCGCAGTTCTTCAATGTCGAAAATTGGATTATCTTCTGTACTACTGAGTGGTTGTTCTGGTTTACTATATTTTTCTGTGAGTTGTATCATATATCTGCTCTTCACTTGCTTGCTTGTTTCTGTGTATTCAGCTTGTGCCTTCATAAACAGTTAGAGGAACTTAACTATTTTCGGAAATTAGGCCAACAAATGTTTTTATTGAAACCTGAACTGGAGAATAGAAGTCAGATATCAAATCAGTGATTTCACAGTTCATAGAAGTTAGATCAAAGTTTAGTTTTCGCATTGACTTGCTTTTTAAGCTATTGAGCCAGCTAATTATGATTTTAAATTCGAATGAATAGGTTTATGGGCTGATAGTAACTTGAATGAAAGCTTCAGCCATATAACCCGTAGGTGAATTTTATATCATTAACAGAAGGCAGGTTTTATACACTGAAAACGTCACATTTTTGGATTTATGAATATCACGTTATGTAGAGAATTAGTTAAATCTAAGGAGCACTGTAAGGTTTAGCTATATTAGCTTGTACCTTCCTATCATTATGCACTAAAACCTACACTCAATACGTATGGAATCAGTTTCGTGAGGATCATTTGCTGGAAACATAATGATTTCCGTTCACAGCTTTAGTGTATGATACTGATATTTGCGACTTTTAGAAAACATTCCATTAGGTTCTATGAGAATTAGACTGTATCGCGCCAGTCGTTACTATTATTCAATCGTCGGTAAATATAGGTTAGTTTATTATGAAATTATATGACTATATCTTACTGTAAACAGAGTTCAAGGTCAAGTTGAAAACTACTATTCCATAGACAATAAAGCTTTAAATTTTAATCTTATGACAGATGTACTTTTTTAAGTTAAGAGTTGTGCAAATATTTTGTTGATAGACATTTTCTATAGAGTCTATATATATATATATATATATATATATATATATATATATATATATATATATATATATATATATTGTTTTTAAACTTAGATAACCAAAATAAATTTGTAGATAAATAATGTGAATATTAACTTTTCGTGACAAAAAATAATAATGAAAGGTAAACAATCCAACAACAAAAATAGACTCATAACTCAGTTGATTTAAGCAGAGTTTTATTAGTAATAAAATTTTTTTATTTATTAAGTTTTAACGACAAACTAGTTTTTGTTACTTTACTTATCAAACTGGTAAACTCAATAAATGAATATTACTTCAAAATCTATAATCCTTACAGATTATGGCATAATTTCTACTATATATTAAGTTGAGAATGAGTACTATGTGATAAGTTATGAAGACAGAGATAGACATAAACGTCTGATTGAGTATTGTTGACGTTTAAGGTGCAACTTGATTGGTTAGTTACTGCATCATGGTGGGATTGTTTTGTTCTCTGCTAATATGGACGACGTAAATAGTATTTGTCGGGAATAGGTAGTAGAATTCTTATTGACAGAAGACGAAAATGTGGAGAGGAGCAAAAACGGAGAACGATTAGAGTATAGGCAAGAATGGATGAAGGTCGGAGATCGTGAGGAGAAAGTCAAAGAAGATGGGCAAATGGTAGACTTAGTGTATTGTTTCCATATTTTACAAATGCGGTTAATTACAGCATGACTGTCATCATGTTAGTTTGAGATGTAATCACTAACGATTCATACTCATGTCTTTGGAGTTAAATTGACAAAGAACTGAGTCTAAACAGCAGGCGTGTTACAAAGTAAACAAGTGTGATTGGTTTTATCTACTCAACCACCATTAATGAAAGCTACCTTTTTAAAATACTAGTACAATCTTTCTTATCCTTACCAAAGAGTTGTATAATATCTGTTTAGTGTCTAAAATCGCTTACTGATTTCTATAAAATAGGCCTATTTCATTACTGATTACAATTTACCATGTAAGCGTTCAAATGATAAATGCCTGAGAAACTCTTCAGTGCTCAACTATTGCAATTTTACATTAGCACTAAATAACTCATACTCATTTTTTTATGTTATTTGTGATTACGCCCATCGAGATAGATGTTTCAAGAGGAATTTTTCAAGAACTTTGAATCGGAACAATTCCCGCTTAAATTTTAATCACCTTATCTAAAATCTAGATCTTCATACACAAGTTTTTTCATGTGTAAAAGGTGAAGTTTCAATTTTAAATGTAGGAATTGAATAACGTTCAATATTCAAACTTGCCTAGATGTTCGTTAAATAATGGCGATAATAATAATTATGATAGTTATGTATGTATCTGATCGTTTCTTTTAGTAGTGTATATAAATAGAGAAGACTACAATTAAGTATAATGAACACACGATCCCTTTAGAAAGGAATAAATGTTACTACTTAACACGGTTATTATAATCTGTCGTCACACACACAAACTGAAAATAGATTCGATGATTAAAAAAGTTTCACACATGTAAGTGGTACGCATGTCATTTATCAATAAATAACACTGTACAGAATACGACATCTGCGGCAAGTTCTGATAAGATTTAATAAAAGTTTCACTTAACAACAGGATGCGAAATCAAGTCAGCTTTTGAATGATTAAAATTGGAAATCTTAACGATAAGACAGAATTGCATATAATTAAACTAACAGAATTCATTGGATAATTTAAATATATCGACTGACGGGATAGAAATTGTTAAGTACTGAACTGTATAACCGTTGAATTATTGAACGACACAATACGTATATGATCGAAATCACAAAGAATCATGTCATTAATAAACTGTATGGGGATCCAATAGCCTAAATTTTCACGTGACTACAATTAACTTGTATAAAATCTTCCCTTTACATACAATAGAAGTGTATATCTTTTAAGTCAGTCCAGTGTATAACCAAGTTTAACTTTCAAAGTTCCTCATTTATAATCTGTTTGAATAAAAAAAAAGATGAGGCTGATGGTGTCATTCGAAAATTAAAAAAATTTATCGGCTTATTTATCAGTGCTTTCCTAGAACCGTTAAAAAAAACACAATTTCCATTTCAAATAATATAGGATTATTCAGTATATGGAATAATAGTTTTCAAAATCTTTTAGTTGTTACAAAACAATGAATTATTTACCGAAACACATCGTCTTATTGATTTTCCTCGGCTATGTAATCAAATCTGAATATTTTATTTATTGTTTGAATCGACTAGACAAGCGCTATTGATCACTTTGAACTTACAGTTAGTCCAACTGTAGACAACAAAATAATCTAGTGAGTAGTAAGCCATTTTACTTATCATAGAAGTCTCATAAGCATGAATGGAGAAATCTCTGGATTAGCATAAAAAGCTTGGCGGGATTCTGTCGTCGTGTACCACTTATGACGTACTCAAGATTTTGATCAGCCCATCAAATAGCTAGTATACTATATAGTATTATACTTTGTATTGATTTACGACTGTGAAACATAGCCTAACAAAATAGAAGACGTGAATAGTCTTCATACACTTCGGCAAATATATCTCGCAAGCATGGTCCACTTGTTGTGGAACTTCCAGGTGATTAGTTTTTGAGGTTAAAGGCATGGTTTGGATAGATGTGATAAGTCTCTTGATCAGCTTTCATTACTGAGAGTACTGTGACACGATGCTGACTATTGCAGAACTAGTGTAGAATGAACTGAAACATTTCACCCCACAATTTATCTGAAAACTGTAATTTGTAATTGTGTGAATAGATCACTATTCCTCCACTGGAATCTAACTTACTTACTTATTTACTTACGCCTATTACCCCCAACGGAGCATAGGCCGCCCACCAGTTTTCTCCAACCAAATCTGTCCTGGGCTTCCCTCTCCAGTTCTGTCCAATGTTTGTCCATTCCTCTCATATCTTTCTCTATTTCTCGGCGTAATGTGTTCCTTGGCCTTCCTCTTTTCCTTTTGCCTTGAGGTTTCAAGGTGAGGGCTTGTCTTGTGATGCAGTTAGGTGCTTTTCGTAGTGTGTGTCCTATCCACTTCCACCACTTCTTCCTGATTTCCTCCTCCACTGGAATTTGGTTTGTTTTCTCCCACAGTTCGTTGTTGCTGATGGTGTCTGGCCAACGAATACGAAGTATTTTGCGTAGACAATTGTTCATAAACACTTGTATCTTGTGGATGATGGCTTTGGTAGTTCTCCAAGTTTCCACCTCATACAGTAGAACTATCTTGACATTTGTATTGAAAATCCTGATTTTGGTTTTGGTTGAAAGTTGTAATATGTGATTAAAGATGTAAAGTAAAATGGGATTGATTCAATGGTGTATACCTACTCATTATCTGTTATCATTTAGATCTCGATATTGGTATGACTCCAGACTTCATTTTTTCAATTTAATTTGTTCTTTTCATACCACATACTTTTCTTGTTTAGTGTCTGATCTCAACTATATTATTATTTTTAGTCATTTTCGTCTAGTATATGACAAAATTGTGCAACTTCCTAACCTTGTTTATAACTGATTATGTTTTCATTGATCGTCTATTAGAGATATTTCAACTAAATCATTTTTATAATTGATACATTAGCGAATTCACATAATTTGATCAGCCTACCTTTAGACTGAGCGAATTTTTTTTTGTGAGATTGAATATAAGGACAATTTTAAGGACAAGAATTTACACTTTTTTTTCGCCTTATTATACCACACAGTTTAGCAATCTTTATTTAACACTTATTTTATTGATTGAAATTTTTTTTAATGATTATTATTAACAGGATGGCGTATTAATACTGGATGCACCAGTTAAAGCTCCTGACTATAAAACGATCACATTTCAAGATGACCGTCAACTTGGCATCCGACCACGAGCTGAATCTGAGATAAAAGCCAATCCAAATAGTAATAAAACACCAGTGTGTTTAACTGTAACTGGTAAGTTGTATCATTGTGATTCCGTATTTTTATTTCTAATTTTTATTCAATCATTACTGATCAAGTATAATGAAGAGGTTTTAATGTCATCTTATAATCACTTTGTTTGGGAACAATACTCTGTTAAAATAGCTAGTAATTTAGAGAAAAGTGACTAGTTCCTGTCAATTTCTATCTGTTGTCCAATATTGTTTCAATACAAATTAGTTCCTACCTACTTAAATAAGAATGTAATTGTTTTCCAATCATACATGCACGGTATTTTGTCATGCTTTATTTAAGACTATGAAACTAGTATTTGATGGATTTCTGATGGATACCTACTTTTTCATTATTTAAATAAGATTAGTAAACAAAAATCATTTTTTTTCGTAGCTTTGTAATGTTTGCATAATGAACAACTCATCATGTATATAAAATTTTAAAGTATTTAATCCATTCTGCAAGAATCTAGTCATAGCTACCCGTGAAAATATTGATCACCTAATAAAGCAATATTCTAATGTAATAAGTCTTCATCACGAGAAATGGTCAGAAATTTGAAATCATGAATCGATCAAAGTTAGACCACCGTTAGAAACCTGGAAGCACTGAGCAGCCGTTTCGTCCTGGTATGGGGCTCATCAGTGGCAGTGAGCATCCACGACTCCTGCACCTCGCAGGTTTCTAACCCAGGACATTCGGTCTTGCTCGCGAACGCCTAACCTCTAGACCACCGAGCCGGTATCTAACGATGTGAATGTCTAACTTCGATCAATTCACGGTCTTGCGCAACCACCCATCCACTGAAAATTAACTTTAAGAAGCTTGTAAACTGGTTGAAAATACTACTGGATCAATAAACTATTGTCATCCTTCAAGTTATTATTGACTGTTTGGTTTGAGACGTAGAGAAATAAATGACCATTATCGATAGTTCAATATGAACTAACTGTAATGATAATTTTATATTTACATTTTTTTCATTATTCTAATTCTTAAATTTCATTTTTGATTTTGTGCCTTTCATTCTCGGATAATCTCTCATTCCTTGCTATTCTTGTTACTTTCTGTTAATTTTTTACTAATTATCTGTACTATAGTTTTCAATGACTTTTTACCCTTCATGGAAAGATTTGAAAAGTCAAGTTATAAAATAAATTGTTATACTGATTCACATATTTTTTTCTAAAATGGAAACTCCACTGTAATATTTTATCACTAGTGTGAACACTGAGATTTGTGGTTTTAAATCAATGCAAAATTTTCAAGGTGTTAAAAAACAAGCTATTGAATTTAGTCATTATACGTTACATTTCTCATTACAACTGTTATTGTGTAGTAATGTGTATTAGTTGTTCGATACACATTCTATCCAAATGGGCTCAACTAAACTGAACTGTCTTGCCAATTTGATCGAAGGCAGGAATGAACTCATAAGAAGTTCAATAACTCAATGTTTTATAAGGACTAACCGTTTAACTAAAAATAAACTCATTGATCAGCATTATCTTTCAATAACGTGAATGAAAGCATTCAATGTTTTATGTTCCATTGACAAATCCGTCGTTACTTTACATACAAGGAATTCCGAAATATGTATGCATGAGTAACTTCTCCAACTTATCTCATCATTATTTAAATCCCTTCCTATGACAAAGTCATCAGCCTCATGTTTCTCTCATTCAGTTAACCTTGTGCTTCAAACTAGTGTATTTATGATTTAATGGAAAAAAACTTCAATGCTTTTCATGAATCATTAATTTGGCTTAGATATTTTTTTCATGATAGAATTCGAATAGTTTTTTTGTCATTACTTGGATACGTGTTCATTTATTTGAATTGATTCATTGAAACAAAAAGTCAGTTTATTGATTAATTCATTTAGTTGTTAGTGGATTTATTTGAAAAATGCAATTCGAGTAGTTTTAAGTGTAAATATATGCACATAAACGACACACACATATTCGAACTCATTAATCTTTGTTCATTGTTAGAAAAAAAAAGACTGAACAAAATTCAAAAGAACTTCAATATACATATAAACTAAACTATTATTAATTACATTTCAAAATATGAATATATTTATATATATTTATATATATAATACAACATTTTTAAAAAGTGAAGTTTATTTCAACAAGTTGAAATCGTTGATTGTTCAATCATCTTGATTAAATAAAATAATAATGTACTTTTAAAAGTATCTAAATTAATACTTCTTTGTAAATAAATTCATCTTTTCATCAAATTAAACGATTCATTTCATGTATGCTTAAGTGATGCGAAGATATGGAATAGTTATTTCATTGAAGTGGCATTAAGGACACTTATTTATATATGTGAAATAAAGTTTAGTTTTATTTAATTCTCTCAATAACCTACCTATGAGATTGTTATCTGTCAATTGTTTACTGCCCGAAATCAATTGAAACTTTTTACTGTTTACTAGAAAAATTAAAAGGAGAAGATTGTCACACCAAACTCTTAGATTTTTATTATCTTATCTATTTTATATTGATAACCACCGACTGCCTCGACGAGCTATGTTTTGTGGTGTAGGAGTAGGTTGGAAGAAAGCTAGAGGCGGCCAGACCAAAACATGGCAGAAATCCATGAAGTCACTGAAAGGTGGACTGAGTCATGTTGGTAGATGTAGACTACCTGGTTGGGGTGGGCGAGTCGATAGTCACCAATGGTTAGAGTGCTTGAACGACATTGCTCAGAATCGTTTGCAATGGCGCAAGTGCATCCATTCGTTGTGCTGTCTCAAATCCTAATCTTCTGGATTCGTCAGCACCCCTACTTTTGTCTTTCTAACCTTATCTCACTGAATTATACTTCTTGAATAATATCTTCAAACCATAGTCTTCTTCATTACCATTAATACCTCTACTATCTCTGTCACTATGGGATTTTGATTTGACATTTGTGTCTCTGTGCTAATGTAGTATGGCAACATGAACTTATGTACATACGTACGTAGTTCTACGTTGCAACTGTCTGACTGACTGACATTGTTTTCTTTTTGAAATTATGATTACTTGTATTATATTTCTGTAAAACACTATTCATGTTACATTGTATTTCTACGTTCTCCTGCAGAAGAAAAGAATTTATACAAAGTTTTACACATAACCTAAAATGTGACACATAAGTGAAATATTGTTACATCGTTATCAAATCAGAGACATGAAGACAACAAATTAATCGTTATTCGATAAAACCAAGTGATATTTCTTGTATGTATTTTTGAAAATATTCTAAAATACATTAGTGTTAAATGTTTGAGTGTACACAGTATGTAAATAATCATTTCAATGATTTGACTGTGTTTAGCATATTTTTAGGCCTTCTATAGAGATATCCTTGATATCTGATCAATAATCATAGTTATGAATGTTTGGTACATTCATAATAGAATCTTCTTAATTGTTTTTTCATATATATATATATATATATATATATATATATATATATATATATATATATATATATATATATATATTGGACTCCTCAGCAGTGCTCATCCAAGACTCCTGCACATCGCAGGATTCGAACCCAGGACCTTCGGTCTTGCTCGCGAACGCCTAACCATCGGACCACTGAGCCGGTATATAACGGTGTTAATGTCTAACTTGATCAGTCGTGGGTGCGCACTGCTGAGGAGTCCCATACCAGGACGAAACGGCCGTCCAGTGCCTCCAGGTTTCTAATGGTGGTCTAACATTTATCGATTTATATATATATATATATATATATTTATGTGTCTATAAATTTTATTTTGAAATTATCGACGAAAAATAACATGAGCATTTTTTTAAAAACTGTATTTAGGTTGTTCTGAACCAACAATAATGAAAGATGGCATCAATGGAAGAAAACTACATCTTGAAGTCACTGTCGATCCAATTTATAAAGCTGATGAATTATGCGTTCGTATGGATTCGAATCGTATAGTTATAACTGGTAGTCAAAAGAAAACTGACGCATCATCAACGTCTACTGCAGAATTCACTCAATCATTTGAAGTTCCTGAAACAGTAGATCCATTTTCAGTTACTGCTCAATTGATTGGAACAACACTTGTTGTTGAAGCACCATTATTATGCACAGTTTAAATTCAATAGGAAAAACTCATTTCATCATGAACAATATGTGTATGTGTGTGTATGTGTGTGTGTGTAGGAGAGATAGAATAGACTGGGCTCATTATGAAAATTATGTTTTCGTAAATGACATACTACAATGAATGTGTAATTTTTTTCTTGGGGGGAGATGAAGGGTCGATTCTTTAATTTATATTTTCTTTTCTTTATGTATTATTGTTGCATCATCCCTTTGCTATTAAAATCGATTATTTTCTACATGTTCAATCATAACTGTCAATTATGAGGCTGACGTAGTTTTTTTCACGAGAAAAATCTGCTCAATGTTGTCCATTCTATGAAAGATACACAACTGCTTTGTTTATCTCTGACCTTTTCTTTATAATTGTTTAATTTCTCTCTGTCAGTTTATGTTTTATATCTTCTGTATTTTTGCTTTGCTACTTCCCAAAGACGAGATGAACTAGGTAGTCAGTAATCTTGTTTGTTTATCATGATGAAACTTAATTATATTTATTTATTTATCTACCACATATGATTAACATTTTCGCATGCGATCGTTTGTTTGTTGGTTCGTTCGTTCTTTCTTCAGTGTTACATCATTTTATCATGTAAAACCAAATTTTTTTTGCTTATATTATCATTTTTCTGTGAATGTGCTTGTATGCACAGACTCTGGTTACTTTTCATAAGTAAAATAATCAATGATAGGCACAATGAAGATGGAGGTGACTCTAACCACTGTCGTCATCAAGACTACCAGCATCATCGTCATCATTACGACAACAGTCACTATTGTGACCATTTGGTTAGCCTATCCGCAATGCTTTTTGTTCAAAACTAAATAAACATGTTTGAAAAGATTGAATTAATTATTGCTTTGTTTAACTGTAATATTACTCTAAACAGAATGCATTAATTTTGTCAGATGTAATCATCTGAAGCACAGTGTATATCATTTGAGGGAGTTTCGTTATGTTCGTGAACAGAATAATATATTTTAACTAGGCTTTCAGAGATATTTCCTTTACAAAAAAATAAAACCCTAAAATCTGAGGATTTAATATCAAATAAGATCTTTTCATACCACTGAGTCATATCTCACTGGTATTACAATTTCCAAGTCCAATCACTTTGTGATAAGACACTCATTCAAATATCATGTCATCTTAAAAGAACAATGAGGAGACGGAGTTGATGTGATGTTAATGTGTTTGAGCTATACATTTTGAACAATCTAGTCACATATACACTTCTCAAGGAGTCTTACATGAGAACAAATAAGGGTCGACCAGGTGAAAGTACAAATAAGCTATGTGATGTAGGGATTAAACGATCGTGCATATACCTGAAGGTCCTGCTTTTATCTCCCGGTTGGGAGGGTTGTGTATACTCACTGATGAGGAGCCCATACTAATAAGAAACGACCATCCACTGCTTCCACGTTTTCACGATTGGTCCAACTAAATCGTGAAAATACTATAATCTCTTAAAATCCCCTACCCTGAAGTGATAATTGTAAGTGAATATGAGTGAAAATTTATATTATATGGAAAGAATATACATCGTCACACAATTATGTCATTATCGGTCAGCTAATTATATATTTCCACATTTTTATTGAAGAATTTCAATTAGTCTGTAATCCAGGTGAACAAATACGACAAATATCCTATTCCAGGAGAAAATATAGATCAAAATATTTAAAATATTATGCACATAATGTGATACAAAGAAATTGTATTTTATGCCTACAGATGTGTATGTGTGTGCACATTAATCATAAATAGACAAATTGTGTGTTTGTGTGTGCTAAATAAAGACATGGATATGAGGATAAGGCAGTCCATTTATTTGCTTGCCCAAAGAATAAAGCAGAAAAGATGCAGTGACAAAGTTGATCGATTGGGAAGTGTACTGCATGAAGATTGGTAAAAATGTCACGTATTATAAATAAAATTTTAATGTATACAAATATTTCTAGCAAACGAATTGGGAAAGGAAGATACATTTTCATAGTTTTAGAATTGTTTTTTTTCTGTATTGCACTGGATCGAAATTCGGTGTGTGTGTGTGTGTGTGCGTGTGCGTGTAGGGCAATCGTGATTTCATCAAATACATAATTTGAATAACACAAAGAAATACTGGTATTTATAAGATTTATGAAATGGTGTCATTCATTTCAAGTTTTTGGCAAACAAGTGAATGTACTTCCTTATTGCTATACCAATGTGCTTGCTTGTCCCTAATTTTCTAACAGTAGTAAACATTATAAAAAAAGGTCTCTTTAAATCGTCTTCACTCGTTACATGTGAAATTGGTTGGCATGATAACGGTTTGGTTTAAGAATAAGTAACATTTTCATGCAATTTCGGGAATTATGTCTTCGGGTTTCCGCATGACATTTTTCCTCTTTTTAAATTTACTCTACTGGATTATACTTCTCGAATCATATCTTCGATGCCTAATCTTTTCGATTACCGCTAATACTTCTACTACCTCCACTACTTAGGGATTTGAAATGACAATGCGGTCTATGTGTGCTTATGTGGTATGGCAACTTGAACTGATGTATATATGTACGAAGTCCTACTCAGCTGCTAACTGATTGCCTTTACAGATACGTTTATAGTAGAAAGTTAAATTACATTTAACATAATATCCAAAAGAAACTGCTTTGTGAATAATATAGTTTTTTTTACCGTTATGTTTATATTGTATATTTAACTTCTCTCTGAGTACTACTTTAATTGACTACTTAAAATACAAATGGTGTCAACCTGATGGCTCTGTATTTGAATGATTTAAATAGTCCTGATTGGTTAACTTTAGAAGTATCCCATTTTGAGGAAACTTAAAATTCGAAAATACAAAAATGCCGTTTCATTTTCTAAGACAAATCCACTAACTTCATTTTTCTCAATCATCCTGTTATAATATGTTTTCTACAGAATAACATCATGTGACAGGACCACCAATCAGAATACTTATTCATGTGACCTTGTCCTTGAACTATGCCGTGACATGCCAACCCGCATCGGTGGCCTTGAAGTATTGCTATGCTTTTAGTGGTCCACTATATATGTTTAGTCAAGCTTCTAATCGAGTTGGCTGACTTGCCTTCTTCGCTTTGCTTTGCTTGTATGCTTTTCATTGTCATGCCTCCATGAACGATTGTCTGAAATAAACTTATCCAACCGAATCTTTATTTGGCTTCTTATTCCCACCGTTGCACAAACGAGGTTCGCCTGAGTATAATGTACGGAGACTGATGGGGAGATTTATTTCGTAGCATATTTAAATGTTTATACATATCAGAGTCAAATCACCGGTCACTAAAGTAGTGAGCCGTACATCGAATTCAACGCAGCCACCAAAAGGTGAAGCGTAATAACATTCTAAATGATTTATATTTTCTTGTTCAATGAAATCCAAGAGTACGTTTGACCAAAATAAAGGCAAAAGATGTTAGATTTTCACTTGAATAAAATAAAGTTATGTTAGTATATTTAAATTAAAAGTGATGTTAAGTTTTCAAAATATTGTTCAAGGCTAAATATCATAAACATACTTACTTACTTACTTACGCCTGTGACCTGCAATGGAGCATAAGCCGCCAACAAGTTTTCTTCAACTGACTCTGCCTTGGGCTTCCCTTTCCAGTTCTGTCCAGTTTTTGTTGATTCTTCTCATGTCTTTCTCTATTTCTCGGCGTAATGTGTTCCTTGGCCTTCCCCTTTTCCTTTAACCTTGAGGGTTCCATTTGAGGGCTTGTCTTGTGACTCGCTTAGGTGCTTTTCGCAGTGTGTGTCCTATCCACTGCGAACAGTAGAACCTTCGGGGCTACTGCCGGTCCCAAGCCCGGATAAAGGAGGATGGGTTGGAAATGGGGTTGGCGCCCCCATCCCAACTATAAACTAACTTGCCAAAAAAAAATCATAAACATAAACAATATTTAATTAGGAAAGATACTAATAAACTACACAAATTCATACATTCTCTTATAACATACTAACAATTTATCATTGACATGTAAATGTAGATTGAAGAGAATTTGCTGACATACATATATTATTGATTCAATCATACTTAATCAATCCGAAAGCATTTGAAATTATGTCTATCTCTATCGTATTTAATGCTTGAATACAATAGTTTTTTATTATAATGTGTCAAATCATTTATTACTACTGCTTACTGTACTGTTTATATTTCATGAATTTATTGGATGTTTCAAAGTCCAATTCATTATCACGATTGAATTTGTTATCATCAGATCGTTTAACTGACAAAATCAATATATTATTTTCACATTTTATTCCATTCCATGATATGATTCATATACAATCACGTCGACAACGTTATGGTATTGTAGAAAATTTTTTAATAGAAAATTTAGATTATTTACCTATTGGTCATGACATTTATGTTAACTTTACCAATATGATAAATTATTATTATGAATTCTCAACCATAATGATCAATAAATCTATGTCAATGAATAATGATGATTCAACAATATATTTTGAAGAAAAAACTTTTCTTGATATATTAAGATTAATTATCGGTGAAAATGCAACCAAGGCCATAGATTATTTACATTATATTCATACTATTGGTTATGAAGATGCAATTTATGTGAATTTTGTGAAAAAAGCTTATGAGCAATCATTGATGCCAAAAAAATATATACCTGGTCAACCATGGTATATGTTATTGATGCATTCATGGAGATTATACTATTTATTAGTAATTAGTAGTTCCAGTGTTTGGTTACGTTCTAGACCGGGAAGTATTATTTATGAAGGTGATTTGCCTAAAACACTTGATGAATGGAGTGTTATATTCATATATTTAATATGTTCAGTATTTGAATCTAATAAACTCGATAGAGATTATCAACTACCGTATGGCTTTTGCCCAAATCCATGTTTAAATAATCCATGTCTTGAAGTAGCCAATACAGTATCGAGTAATTGTATAAAAACTGGATACTTTGAAAATAGTTACAAATGTGAATGCCGTCATGATTATGAATGGAAACAAGTTAAAGGATATAAAGGTAATAATTGGAATATTTGTAGATTTAAATTAGTTATGTAGAATGATGGCGATAATTGAGATGGAGAGAGTAGTAGGTATAGTATAATAATATATATCGATTAAACTTTAATATTTGACTGGGTTTCTATTCGGTCTAATTAATACTCTACCTTTTACTGCTTATTCAGGAGTTGATCGAGTCCTGTCTCGAAGCAACATTTAGCAGTTAGTAAGACAAAAACATACTATTGAAATCCTTAAGTTCCGTTGAAATCATGAGTCGATCAATGTAAGACTACCATTAGAAAACCGGAAGCGCCGAACGGCCGTTTCGTTTTAATATGAGACTCATCATCAGTGAGTGGACTAACACTGGTCGGTTTAAGATTCCAATGAAATTCAACAATCTCCATAACTGTATGGTGACAGTTACTATGTTCTCGTGAGGAAGTTCCCGCGGTTCTATAGAGAAGTTCTGACCAGTGGAGTTCAACCCTGTCGTGTTTGAGGCAGTTACCCGCCGATGACGATGGGTGAGGTCGCGAAATATCGTGAGTTGACTTCAGTTAGGCATTGAAACCATTGGATGCCGAATTAGTGGTCTAGAGGTTGGTGTACTAGGATAAATGGTCATTCAGTGCTTCCAAGATTCTAATGCTGGTTTAATGTTGGTCGGTTCACGATTTAAGTAAATTTAACAATCTCCACAACCCTATAATGACAATCCTTGAATTGTTGGTCAGAAGACTGCATCTTATCACCATCTTCACAAAACAGAATTATATTGTCCAGGTATCGTGCCAACAGGTGAACCTCTTAGAAGAAGACTAGTTTCTGAAAACCCAGACGATGAGTGTGTTTTTCCCAGATGAATGCTTGTTGCAGGTTGAATAAGAAGGGAGAAATTGAGCAACCCCGACAAACAACTTGAATTTATCCATATGATAGTTTTATAGAATCTTTAATTTGATTATCAGTGTTCAACTAGATAGCCTGTATAAGGATAATGAACATATTCGGTTCTCTTGTCAATGACAGACACTGTAATAAGACCGATCTACAATTAAACAAACAATATAAAATCCAGCAACCTTTGAGTAATTATTTTCATTCTTTAGCTGCGAAATTCATCTCTACCATAACAATAGGTTAGCATATGAATGGATTCAACAGTTGTTGTCGTTTTTTGCAGTTTTGTCAAAATATGACGAAAAATACATCTTGATTTTGTTGTTGAGTCCATGAATTTCAATGTAAAACATTTCGGAATTCAGTCTCATAAATTCATGTTGCTTCCAACATTCATATTCAGTAATAACGTGTAGTAGTGCAAATAAATTAAATTGATCTATGCGAACAATCACTGGACATGCAAATCCCGATGTTTGATTATTAGATTGGAGCATCCTGTATTTTTTCAAACAAAGGCATAAAAACTTGTTTCTGAAGCAGAATCACATTTTATAGACTGAGTTTTAGCAGAGGATCGTAGGTTTGATTGTGTATTGGATTCGAAATAAATACTAGATATTCCCAGGTCCTTTTAGTTTTCAATCTTTATTATGTTCGTCTTTTCTTAATCAAAAACCCTCCTCGATTTAGACAAATCTTTGCAATCTATCTATTTATCTAGTTTATTCCACTGTTGTCTATTTCATTAAGCGATTTTTAGCTGCTTTTCAATCTCTTCTTGTTAAGAAAATTTATTGGACAGAGATCGATAATCAATAGACAAAAATGTCGTTGAGCGGGTATCTTTACGGATGTAAAAAATGTGTTTGACAACCTTTCAGAATAGCGAATATTTATTATCGGTGATAAATAAATTCGATAGAAAAACAAGAATAGTTGGTCATATTTAGGATTTAACTATTCGAATAGCTACATTTTATCCTGGTAATCAGGTTCTCATATGAATTTTAAAATCAACATTTAAGACCTGACTCACACACTTACAAGCTGAATACATTACTCAGGTTTAGATTATACTTTCATGGCAAATTTTTATCGATTGTAGCTGGACATTGTGTTTCGTAAATCAAGCATGGAAATATTATTGTGTACTGACAAAGTATTGTTGTTGATATCTTTCATTGATATCATGAATCAGACATTTCAAAATAAAGATTCACACAAAAAATATCGCCATAAGTTTTCGGTCATGCATAAGGACCTTCAGTAACAACGTAGGACTCCGTACGAACGTACATCAGTTCAAGTTGTCATATCACATTAGTACAGAGACGCAATTATCAATTCAAATCCCATAGTAATAGAGATAGTAGACATATTAGCAGTAATCAAAACGACTAGTGATCGAATATATTATTCGAGGTGTATACTTCAGAGGAATCGATTAAAAAAAAGAGAAAAATCAGTCATGAGGAATTCAGTAAGTTAGGATTCGGGAAAACACAAGGACTGAATGCACCTGAACCACTGCAAACGGTTTTGAGCCACGTCATTCAGGATCTCTAACCATCAATTACTATTGTAGTGAAATACTTTTATGAAGATAACGCGATTGGTGAAATGGAAACATTTATTATTGTAACCAATTGTATCGGTGATTGTTTTACTGTGCTAAAAACCATTCTCTCACTCATCACGTGACACTGACATTGGTCACGTTGCCTCGGTAGTCTCGTCAACAACGTTTGATGTGATCTTGATATTTTTTCTATATCACGAGATCACCAACAAATATACCTCTACCTCCAATCGCAACGGGTCTTTTGACTTCTGGCTGGCAAGGGATTTAACTTGGTTATTTCGCGCTACATAGCCACAGTTTGCTATACTATCATCTCGCGAGCCCCAGTCAGGTAGTCTACACCTACCCACACGACTAAATCCACTTGTCAGTGATTTCATGGATTTGTGTTTTGGTTTGGACGTCCTGGCTTTATTCCAACCTATTTCTAGATCGCAAAGCATAGCTTGACGAAGCAGTCGGTGGTTATGCATACGCAACACATGTTCCAACCACATCAACTGATGAAGTTTCATACTTCCTCTACTGATCTGACATCATTACTGATATGCGTGAAACTATTACGAGTTCGCCTTACTCGGCAAACGGAACGAAGATCAACGATGTAGTGACACGGAAGGCTATTCTAATCCGTTTGTCCTAGGCCCTGATGACTAGATCTCGATAAGGCCGAGAGAATGTATTCTGCAGGCACCCAGAAAATACGAGGTTGCTAAGCACTCAACTCAAGCTTATTTATACAATCATAGAAACGCCCTTGGGAGAGCCACAAGATAACGTACTAAAATAATCCATTAACCAATAACAGTTAAGGATTTTCAGAGTGGGAAATGTATGCCGAAGGTCAATTAGGCGTCTTTGGCGTGGAAAAAATAAAAAACCAAAAATTTCAGAATAAAATTCAAAAATTAGGACCTTTTCCAGGTGAGTTCTGAGGATCTAACGTGCCCGACAGTTACCTAGTTCCCGTTTCCTAACAACAGCATTGCTTACTCGGTAGTCGCAGAACACACGAGCAATGCTTCGGAGACACCTGTGATCGAAAACCAGTAAACTACTAATATCTCAAAAAAGATTATGTTATATCTATAAGAAAGAAGAAGGTGGACAGCTCTGACGAATACCACTTGAAGTAATCAGTTCCGATGACAGTTAACCATAAGCTCTGACTCGACCAGTGGTGCTCAGGTAGAGAGCTTTTATAAGGTTAGTGTATTTCTTTGGCATTCCTTTCAATGAAATATGCTGTCATAGAACCTCCCGGTTGACAGAGTCAAACGCCACCTTAAGGTCGAGAATTACAACTATTGTCGGGTGTCTGTCAGGTGTATGTGTGTCCTAGGGCCTGACGAAGTGTGAATATTTGGTCTATACAAACATGTCCAAGTCTGAAACCATCTTGGTTTTCTCGAGTCTGCTCTTCATGAGCTCTAGTTGGGCGTCGAAGTATTATCGAAGCTAATATCTTAGAAAATACATCAGTTACACTGATTTCTCCGTGATTGTCACAAGAGGACTTTTGTCCTTTCTTACAGAATGGGACAATCTATGATCCATACTATTAAGCCTATAGCCTTTTCAACCTCATTCACAGTTGGAGGACTTACATCAACTTGCAATTCAGGTTGACTGGTGTTCGTGGGTAACCGTAGTGTGACTGAAGACCAATTGAACTTATCTGTGAAGTGCTCTCCCCATAGATCCAATCTCCTGGATTGATAAATGACAATGATAATGAGTTGTTCCTTTTGTGAATTCAGTCTATCCTGCGATAATAATAATAATAATAATAATAATAATAATAATAATAATAATAATAATAATGTGTGTCTATATATATATATAAATTACTTGTGAAAATATTGATTTGATAGCAAGTTTAAATGATAAAATATAAATCTGCGGATTTAATTTCAATGTTTTGGAGTGTAAACACTCACCATGTGGTTTTTAAGTCTTAGGTTCGACTTCTAGGGAGGATAGCAAGGTCGTGGATGCTTACTTTTGGGACAAAACATATCTCTTCAGCCATTCCTTCTTTTCAACAGTTATCTAGCCAAAATCAGTCCATCATACAAACTATCATATCTGATAATCTACACAATCCTGTTTACTTAAAAATGTAGGCTATTATTTTTAGTTGACCCAACTTTTTATTAAATCAGATATTTTCTCTGAACTCGTTTTTTATGAGAGGCATTCCTGTTGGATGCAACCAAAGAAATCATCCAAAAAAAATGATTTCTGATACTTTTTAGCTTCCTCTAACTACAATGCCCAACAAACCTTACTTTTACTTGGGAGTTGAAATCTTAGTTCAAGCACTTATTTTTTTGAAATATAAGTATTGTATTCTTCAAAGTTACATGAAACATATCTTGGAAAAATTAAATACTTTTTGGTAGTTTGCTACGTTTATCATCAGTGAAACATGACATTTGTTAGGAATGTTTTTTTTTTAAAGTTAAAGGAATTATCTATGTTAATTTTCCAAGCATAGTATATTGGACTTTCAATCCGATGGGCATTTTTTTTAGATTTTACGATCAAAACAACATTTGTCAATTATTGGAAACAATTTAAAAGGTTCATGGAATTTGTACATCGGCATTTTCTCTATTCATAGATTCCTTGTTTTTAAATGCAAATTGCCAAAAAAACCAATTGCATTCCATAATATAAACAATAAATTTTCTAAATACTTTAAGATAAATGATGAGAATATGCTCAGAATAAATACAATCATTCTTTGTACTGATCGGTTGCATTCATACTTGCATGAATAAAGCAAACAAGTGACATTATTGAAATTCAGTTTAGTGTTAATGAGAAGTAAGGGATGGGATGTGTTTGTAACTTATGCAACATTAGCTTCTCAATGTCCAAAATATACGCATCATCCAGTATTCTTCTGATTATTATTTAGTGAGTGGATATTAAATCATAAAAGTGTGATTGTCATCGAGATGGTGGAGAAAACTTGTAGCTCAGGTGGATGATTGTGGTGGCGTTTCGTTCTCTGAGCTGGTTGTTTTGGTTGTAGAGCTTTCATTGTTCTTCTGAACAACATCATCAGCACAAACTTCAGATAGAAGTGAAGCATTCGAATTTCTCCACGTTTGACCTGTAGCTTGTGATTGTCATTGATGATTTCATCTTAATCGCTAATTTTCACCCTATTTACTCTCTATATATTTAATTTTCTCTCTCTATGGCATGATATCACTCCGATGGTTTAAATTTCCATATTTCTGTGATTCTAAACTAAAGCACAACCATTGTTTAATTCTATGAACAAGTAAATTGTCTTGTACCCAACATTGTTGCTTAGTACCAAAATTTCGAATGATTTATCTCGAATCTAATTACAAATACGAAATGTCTAGTATCAGGATGAGTAGTCTATGAAAACTACATCATTTAGAAGATATTCTCCATTTTAGATTGGTAAATTCTTTATTCATCGTTACTTCTGCACTTGTTCTTGTGTTTAGAAACGTAAAACAACATACTCTATTTGTGTAAGTTGGAAAACATTCTATCATTTCTTGTATTTTTTTTAATATAAATTTTAAATGATGATTCATTAATTTTACTTAAGAGCTAAAACAAGTATTTAAGTAGAATAATGTCATTTCGTGTTATTCTGATCAAATCTTTATATTTAATTTCTTCAAAATAATGTAAGGAACTATGTGCATGTGATTTCTCGTTAATTTGTCTTTTAATGCTAAATAGTACTGGTTTTAAATAGCTTCAAGTAATCATATATCCGTTAAAAGTAATTTTCACATGGTTTTTATGAGACAAATGATTAAATATACTTTCTTTCATGTTTTTAGGCTATTGTGAAGCAATCGATTTATGTGATAAATATTGTGACAAATCTGGGACCAGGAAATGTGATATTATAGAAGATAGATATTTCTGCGTATGTCGTGTAAGTTATTTTATTATAAAGTAATATCTTTGCTATTCAAAGATTGTTACATTTTACTGATTCCAAGCAACTCCAGGTTGTATCTTTTTATTTCTGCAGTAACTTGCAATAGTCTTCCGGTCTACAATAATTTACGGACATTCCGTGTACCTAAAAGAATTGTTGCTCTGGTTGTGAAAAGGGCATCAACCTCGTGACTTCCGAAGAAAGTCCGCTTTCATCATGAGACGTCATAACTCTTCTAAATGAAGATCTTCTAACTTCCAGAGCGGAGTTTAAATGGTTTGCATTATGTTTTCTGGTTGGCGTTTCTTAGAGAGTTAGTTTTCTACGGAATGGAGTCGCCAACCCCAAGTCCAACCCTCCTCCTTTATCCGGGCTTGGGACTGGCAGTGGCCCCGGAGGGGCTCCAGACGGAGTTATGATGTTAAGTAGTTAAAAGTAATCATTAGGATACATTGCTTGAAATACGTTCTGTGTTAAGTAACATGCTTGTAGCTTGAATCACAACATATTTCCTGGTGAATAATATGGTAAATTATGATTTTCTTTTATAAACAGGTTCATTTTGATGTATACGCCAGATTTACACGAAATATTTTGAACTACTTATTTAGGTATTTAGTAGTATGCATTAAAAATGCTATCTTTCTAGCTCATCACATGTTGTAACACTATTTATTAATCTTAAGCTGAAAAATGATGTTTAGAAATATGACTTTTGTTCTAAATTTAACGAATATAAATCCAGAGTTTATGTTTCATGTGATTGTGATTTATTAACAAAACAACTTGTAAATAAATCCACCGTTAAAGAAAGGTCACAATTGATTTTATTGACAAATACCATCTGCATACATGGAAATTGATTACTATATAGTTTGACTTATATTTTGACTTACTTCATTTACTTAAGTATTTTAGGTAGTCAGTCGTGTGATAAGTAGATTTCCACATATTTCTATTCATTATAATAATGAACATAAAAAGAAGCTTCAATTAGTTTGCATATTTAGTTAAATAGTAAAAACAGAAAAAAAATAGTAGAACAGAATCACGTTTTATACTGAAAGTGCACTAGAAAATATGATCAAATTACGAAAACACACAACTAAATCACGAGTATAGCCTTTCCTACTATTACTAATTGTTTATTCTTTAAAGACTACCAGTTTATTAAATTGAATAACATTATAAAATATAATATACATTCAAAATTATTTTCCTTGTACAAATTGACATTGTGAGAAGTAGTTATGGAATATTATACAAAGTACTGAATAGCTGTTTCATCCTCTAAGTAGAGAGCACACACAATCTACTATTGAAAATTGATAAAATAATGTCAAGGACTTATGATATCCATTTTACTTTTTCAGGTCATTTAGTTTCAACTCAGTGATTGACATTTTCCAATTTTAGTCTAGTTTCAATATAATGTAACTATCACGGAAAATTATTCGTAGATATCCGTATAACTTCTGAACCAGTTGACACGACTGTTCACTTTTTCGCATTGAAAAAACAGGGGTATTCATTCTGCATTTCTTAGTAAACATGTATATATATAATAGTTCATGTTTTTCTAACAGTAGGGTATGAGCTCTAGTAAAATAAAGAAGCTGGCACATCAACTGGTTGTGTCAGGTTTTTATTGATTTTGTAAATGATTATAAATGAGTTAGTTTCAATCAAATTACCAGTGTTTATAAAGTATCTAATTAATGAGGTTTATGTCTCTTTCCAAACTTACAATATGAGTTAATCAAACTCTCTTGGACGGCATGTAAATTTTTAACAACTGATATAACCCACTCCACATCAAGAAGTGAATTGTTAAATGCGTATGTAAATGCTTCGATAGACTACAGAATATGGATCATGTAGTTTATACAAAGGAATTTCTGCTGAGGAGGTTCGCGATTACTCTCCTTAAGCTGTCTTCAGCCATGATGTTCTTGAAATAGAATTTGAGGTGAAGCTTTGGTTTTGTCATAGAAGTTGATAATTCTTTTGGAAGTTTGAGAAATAAATTCTTAATGATGAATATTAGTGGATATTCACTTCTGATAACATTTATTTTCAAGGTCTTTACCTCGTTATCCGTAGCATCAGGATGGCGATTCCACATATTCATGTGGTTAAGATATACAACTTCTCGTCGTCCGAACAGCAACCCGGGTATATAGGAGTTTTGTATCTGGTTACAGCATAAAGAAAAACAGATCTTGAAGGAAGTCTGTTAGGTTCATTATTTAGCAAAAAGGAGGTATATGTTTATTCGGTTTACACTTCCAGAGTAAGGTGATAATTGTTGAAAGTCTTCAGAATTTGGCTAGAGTTATCATTTATTATTATCATTTGTAATAAACTATCACTCACCTTTCTGTTATACAATTGAAAGCCATTTATAAAGTTCTTCAATATATCCTTTTCTAAACTGGCTATAAAATTTGTTGACACTGGACGAAGAGCAAATTTCATAGCTATGGAATATTGAATCCGTAGATTGCACCATGGAACGTCTAGTCGACCTTAAAAGTGCATCACAATGGTAGTACCACAGGTTAGGTTAATGAAGGCTAACTCTAACTACATTCCTGTCTTCTTCTTGGAGTGGAAATAATGAGTGAAATGTTGTGCGTTAATTGCCGAACTACCGAATTCATATTAAAGAATCTTGATGGTCCTTAATTAGAATTATCGTCCATCTAATCACAAACGTAACATTGCCACAGATGATGTTAAATAATGATAATAAAAGGACCATTGAATTAACATTCAGAATACTACATTCACTATTGAGCTATAACTTGATTTTGAATTCAACATTTATTTTTCTACTAATTAATTTTCTGTTCATATTAGAAAACTATGTTTGAATTTTAAAATGTTTTTTTTTCTAGCCTACTCATATGGGTTCAAATTGCAATTACAAACGTGATCCATGTGTGGAACTAGCTTCCAATGTTCCTATGGCAGGGAACATAGCGTGTAACGTTGCCAATGGTGGTGTGTGCAAGGGAACTTTAGGGACAGACACTTATTATTGCCAGTTAGTTCAATTTAATTCATGGGTTTTTTGTTTATTTATGTAAGAAGCAGCTTTGATAATGATTATTCTAAGCCATTTAACTTGGGTTTTCACAAAACCTTCAAGAAGACAGAGTTGGATCAAAAGCTTTTAGATATCCATCAAGCAACAAATATAGTTTGAACATTGAGAAGACCAAATCTACTACAAAATCGTGATGATTCTTTTTAAATTAAGAACTTTTTGTTATAAATCAGACGATTTTTTAGTTCTCATCACTGAGCATAACAAAGTTTTGGAAAAATTGGTCACTATGACTTCAGAAAATGAACCGCTTAATAAGCATTCATAATTGCTGATGACATTAGTATAATGGATTTAGCTATCTAAAGAAGAATGACCAAATATCCTATCTGGTTCTCAGAATGCTTTTTGTGAGACATTCATTCTTATTCTCTAGGTAGCCGACCTAGTAGTTTCACGTCTGTCTACGATTGAACATATGGTTTCTTCCGACCGAAATTGCCCTCGTCGTTGTTTGTATTCTAGGTACAATGTTTGGATGAGCTTGAGATCAGTATCATTTAATGTTGTCGTATCAAGTCATTTACAAAAAATGGTTGCATATTTTTTTAAAATTGTTAGTAGAAGTATTCAACTAATATTTATTTTTTCCAGGAAATGCGCATTAATATACTCTAAAACAATTAATGTAGCCGAATGAGATAATTCCATATAAAAACCAAAGTTTTAAGTAATATAATAAGTTATTCTATTATGATTGTTTTTAATTCTTCTGTTATAGGATAAAATTAGGTACTGTTACGACAGGTAAAGCTGAAGATTCATGCCTTTGTCTTTGATAAATTTCTTATGATGCTAGTTGATCTATAGTCATACCAGTCTAGTTTAATATCATATACACAACAGACTACTTTAATTCTCGCACTGTTTATTCGGTCACTGTTTCTGTTTTTAATAACTAAACATTTAGGATTTGTTGAAAGTCCCGTGAGCGAATTATCAGCTAGCTTACTCTCACTAACAGACCAGTTATTTCCTTGGGGAAGTTTCACTGATTCCTTAGAAAGTCAGTTAGGTCTTTAAGTTATACCAGTTTCTGTTTTTGTTAAAAATTCTTTGACTAATTGTTGATTATTATCATTAATTTATAAAAAAAAAACCAGTTACAGTGTTACAACGTTTATTGATGTAGTCATTAGAAAGTTTCTGGATGCTTGTAGATTTACCCCGGACTCGCACTATACTTTAGCTTAATTTCTCACTCAACTACGTAATAAAGAGACATTCAAATCAATACCTATTATGATCTACAATATCTTTTTCTATCATTAGAATCAACTATCTAGTTCAAAAATTCAGACTGATGGAAATCACAATCAACAATTAGTGCTCATAAAAAGAGGCTGATTATTATTTCGAAACGAGTCTTTATCTTGTAGTAGTTCGAGCCGAGGTTGACTGTCAACACTACTACAAACCAATTACGTTCTAGCCTTAACGCGTTGTCTCATCGTGAACAAAAAACAAGGAAGAAGAGATAGTCCAGGTGAAAGAGTTTATTTGCTGGAGATTTTGTGGTATCGAAGGAATACCGAAATCGTACCAGATTATATGGGCGAGAAGGTATACAGAGCACCAAAAGCAAGATGCCAATCAAGCAATGGAAAAGTGTGTCTACCAGAAGTACGAATAAACAGAAATTTCAGTATAACAAACACTGACACTATTGGCTATAATAATGAATGTTTCTATTCAACCAATCGCATTTTCTTCGTAAAAGTGGAGTCATTGCAATCGAATGCCATAACGAACAACGACTACCACTGGATAATCACAATGGTTTTGTTTTCAAAATGTCTGGTAACAAAGATGGTATAACAATTCAACGAATGAAGTCATTCATTCCTACGTAATGTACTAACGTAATTTATGTTAACGTAGTAATCGTAATGCAACGATTGAGACAGACAGACAGATACAACACAGAACTTCGTACATAAGTACATCAGTTCAGGTTGCCATACCACGTCAGCACAGAGACGTAACTGTCAGTTCAAATCCAAGAGTGATAGCGATAGTAGAATTATTAGCAGCAATGGAGAAGATTAGGGAGCGAAGATATGATTCGAAAAGTATAATTCAGTGAGATAAATTTAGAAAGAGAAAGATAGAGATTATGAGGAATTCAGAAGGTTAGATTTAGAGAGAACACAAAGAGTGGATGCACCTGCGCCATTACAAACGATTCTGAGCCATGTCTTTCAAGGTCTCTAACCATCAGTGACTATCGTCTCGCGGACCCAAAACAGGTAGTCGACAACTACCGACATAACTCAGTGCACTTGTCAGTAACTTCATGGATTTCTGTCATATTTTGGTCTGGCCGCCCCTTGCTTTCTTCCAACCCACTCCTACACCACAAAACATAGCTCGTCGAGGCAGTCGGTGGTTAGGCATACGCAACATATGTCCCAACCACCTCAACTGATGAAGTTTCAATGCTTCATCTATTGATTTGCCATCCTTAACTAGAACTCGTTTCCTAACGATAGCATTGCTTACTCGGTCGTCCCAGGATTCGCGAGCAATGCCTCGGATACATCTATGATCGAAGACTAGTAACCTACGAATGTCCTCTACTCTTAACAGCCATGTTTCGCATCCGTATAGTAGGACAGAGAGAACTGCTGCGCAGTACACTCGTCCTTTGTTTAGCAAGCGGATATCTCACCTGAGCCATAAGTGACGCAGGTCGGCAAAAGCCAATCGAGCCTTATGTTTCCGAGCTGAGATTTCGTCAGTCACCAGGCCGTCAGCACTGGTGAGACTCCCCAGATAAGTGAAGCGGTCAACACGCTCGACTACTTCACTACCTATCCCTAGTTCAGGTGCCGATGCAACCCAATCTTGAAGCAACATTTTGCATTTCGGAGGGGGGTGGAAACTGCATCCCGAACATGCTTGAATTGTTGCTTAGGGTGGTTAGAAGACTCAGCATTTTGTTAGCGTCTTCACCAAGTAGGACAATGTCATCGGCATATTCTAAGTCAATAAGCGAGCCACCTGGTAGAAGGTCCACTCCTGAAAATTCAGACGAGGATAATGTTATATCTAGGATCATGTTTATGAATGCAACGATTGTACTGATATACATCTTCTAAAGCCTTATAATCAGTCATAAGAAATGTGGAACCTAGTAGATTTGAACATTACCTCAAGTTACAGGACAGTATGTAATAACAAAATATATACCAATAAAATAGTGGTATGTTGTATAATAATAAAAGGTTTTTTTATTGAGTCAACAGTAATGTCGGGTTATAGTTGGTACTATCCAATCGTGATTGCTTATAGATGATATTTTCAAAGTGAATATAAGCCAAAATATTCAATACAGTATATGTTTAAAGTACACAGAACCTCAACGATTCTAGTCGTGTACTTGGCTTATATATTGCATTGAATTTCTTATGTAATGAATCTATATTCATACAAACTTAAAGTATAAAATTATAACTGCTTTTTTTTTGAAGATGTCCAAAGTCATTTACCAGTGATCCAACTTATCCTAACCCAAATTGTTTACAAATTAAAGATCAATGTGCCAGTACAGTATGCATTCATGGTGATTGTGTTAGTTCAAAAAATGGACAAGTAAGAAAATCTTATTAACTATTAATTGATTATTTGTTTAGTCATTTGGGTGAATATGTTTAAAAATGACATATTTATTTAAGCAGGTAAAACGAGATTGAAGTGAACTTTTCATGTATGGAACAGTGTGACAAATATATATATATATATATATATATATATATATATATATATATATATATATATAATTTGTCTGTATACAGTTCTAAACATATTTGACAGATAATTTTTCAGAAATTTCGGATCATTTGACTTCAGATTATCATAATTCGATTAATAAAAGATAAGGTATAACCAAGATATCTAGGATCAAAAGTACGATGATGAATTATAGGCTAATTTAAAGGAAGATTTCAATTTCACAAACATTGGCTTCCATCAGCACCTGAACTCGTGATAAGGAGTGAAGTAGTTGAGTGTGTTGATTGCTTCACTTATCTCGAGAGTTTCATCAGTTCTGAAAGACTGGTGTATAACGGTTATAAAAGTCTCAATTGGCACTTGCAAACTTACGTCACTTATGGCGTAGGCGAGATATACGTCTACTAACCAAAGGGCGAGTCTGCAGCGCAGCAGTTCGCACCGCTTTACTGTATAAGTGTGAAAAATAGTCACTAAGAATAGAGAATAGTCGTAGAGCACTAGTATTCAATAATAGATGTCTTCGAAGCATTATTCGTATATCCTGGGACAATCAACTAAGCAAATCTGGGGTTAGGATAGCAAGTCAGTTGATAAAGTAGTGAATGTTCATCAGTTGAGGTGGTTGGAACATGCGTTATGTATGCCCAACTACCGATAACCTCGACAGGTGATACGGTTTAGTGTAGAGGCGGTAAAACAAAAACATGGCACGAACCTATGAAGTCAATGACAACTGAACTGAGCCATGTTAGTAGATGTAGTCTATCTGGTTGGGTCCACCAAAGAGTTGTAACAGATGGTTACGGACTTTGAATGATATGGCTTAAAATCGTTTGTAATGACGTCGATACATCCATTCTTTGTTTTCCCTCAAATTCTAATCTTCCCAACTCGCCATGACCTTTTTCCTCTTTTTAAGTTTACTCTACTAGATCATACTTTTCGAATCGTATCTTCGATTACCTGTAGTACTGCTACTACCTCTACAACTATCGGAATAGAATTGACAATTCGGTCTCTGTATGTTAATGTGGTATGGCAACTTGAACTGATGTATGCACGCGCCAAGTTCTACATTGTTGCTGGTTGATTGACTGACCATCAAGTAATTTTATTGTTCTTTAGTGTACAGAAGAATGTCCATTCACTTTTCGAACGAGTGAGTTTGTTAACGTGTGATAAGTTTTGGTGTGTGGTAAAGAGGAAAATGTGATTAATCATAGAGCGTGTACAAACATGGATTGCTTTTTGGTCCCGTCTGCTCTTACTGATTCCTACTCCGAAATCACTGAGCATGGGTTAAGATATTGTAAATTGCTTAGTCTGGTTCTCTAATTCGGTTGTGAATCGCGTATCTGGCTTGACGTGATCTAGTCTCTGTTTGGTGTACCGTTTGAGTATCTAATTCAGTGATAATATAAACTCAGTCATCACCTATTTAGTCGCAGTATGTAATTCAGTGGATAGAAAAATATCCAGTAATCTCGATGTATTAAGTTTATACTGAGCCTTTTGATATATGAGTTTAGATTCAAACCAACTTCACATACTTTAACAGTTTCATCCCAGTTGCATTTACTGCCGCCCACCAAATACAGCAGTTCGAATCCCTATGTGTATTGGTAGTGAGTTAGATTTATTAAACTGTTTCACTGACTGTAGATGTAAAAATGCATCAATAATACATAAGAGACAGATAAAATGGAATATTGTAAATGTATATTGAGTCTGAAATGAGAGAATATTCGATTGTGTTACATGTTATCTTCTGCTATGCAAATCAAAAACTAGATATAAAGTAAAAAAAAAAGCAATAATAACAGTTACCTCAATAATTATCCAGGTCACCTGTAACAAAAAAGATTTTTTAAAAGCTTAATGCTTCTTCAACCAACGATGATAGCGTGAAATTTGTCAAAATTTATAGAGAATTTTCCAATATCATCGAAAACTTAACGATTATGTGTGCACATACTAACGTGCTCAATACGATTTTACATGCTGTTCAATAATTTCAAAAATTTTTGAAAATTATTTGATTTAATTAACAATTTGCCACAATTAACTTAAGCTAACTTGAGTAGATCAAAATGATAAATACTGATTCTTTGTACTATTATTCAATGCCAGGAAACTTATTGTATTTGTCCTGAAGGAAGATATGGAAAATATTGTGAATTAACACGTGGACAATGGGCTCAATGGTCATCATGGTCTGAATGTTCACCGAATTGTGGACTTTCCAATAATCGAAAACGTACACGTACACGTAACTGTTTAGGTGAAGCATGTAGTGGTAGTTTAGGTTATTTACATTTAGAATTTTGTGATATAAAACCTTGTTCAGATGAAATGTTACTGTTAAATAAACTAGATTCATTACAAGATTTCAAAGAATTGAAATTGAAAATGTTACAAGTAAAAGCAACACATTATATAGAAATATCAGGTAGGATTGCCAGCTATCTATTATTATTAACCTGTATTGTTTCTGCAATTACAGTGACAGCTATGATAATAGTTGCATATTATTTGTAAAATTTAAATAATTATACAGTTGAATTAGCATATTATTATAATCCTTTGTGTAATTATTTATACTAAATATACATTATTATTGTGTGGATTTTATCAAGAAATACTAAATGATGAAGAATATTTACTGTTGAGATGTGCAGATGATTGAGTTGAAGAAATAATTAGCAGATAAACAGGTCAAAGGTTGCGTACAATATTATCAAAACTGAAAGTATAAAGAATAAATGCTTTTCACTAATACCAACGATTTTGAACAGTATCATGTAAACCTTTCAAATATGAATTATGATAATCATGCAAACTTCAATTAGGAAATCTACACTTTACGACAAGAGTCAGATGAAATAAATAAAGATTTAATGAAGATATGACGTCCTGGTTTTGTTGCCTTTAACTTCATTCTAATTTGCTTTGTTGTACGCCGTCTCAACGAACTCACGGTTTATTAAAGTATAAGCTTTAATTATTAAAAATTCTACAACTAGAGGAGGCAAATAAAAATGAGTAAAGAAATTAGGAAAAAATATATGATAGTGATTATTACCCAAATTGTTAGAGACAAAATATACATCAATAGCCAATGAGTCAAGTGAAACTTACGGCCAGGGGTACCATAGAGATACGAAAACAAACTCTTCATATACATATATTCCCTTAACCCTTCCTTCTCCATACACCTAAATAACTGCTCTTTTAAATGTATCCGCGGACTTTTCAACTTGGCCATTTGATTGTAGATGTTTGGTGAAAGTTTTGATTTATTTAAATGTCTTTAACGAATTAAGTTTAGAAAATTCTGATGATGAAAATTGAGGTTCATTTTTCTGACACCAATACTTCAGGAGAGCTAAGACAACCAACTGTCATAATTTATCAAACGTTAAGTTTATTGGAATAGGCTTGATGCTACGAGAACGCATCAGCAGCCACTAAGAAATGTTTACTATTAACAATAATGGAGAAGTAAACATTCATTCTAAACAATTAGATCCAATTTTTAGAGGAGTTTTGATTGCTTTTGCATTTGCAGAACATTTTGCTACATATTTTTAAATTTGACAAGTATCGGTTTCACGTGGTGCTGTAGTTACCGTTAAAACGGACTGAGTTTCGAATCATTTATTGAACATACTGTATTCAGAGGCAAATATCGTAAATTGGGGTTTCCAATTCAGTCATTGCCATAAGTTCCAGTAAAATAATTTTCACTGAACTGAAAAGTACATTCGATCGTCCCAGTAAGTTCAAGTACGTATGAAGTTGGAGGCATTTTTGAATGTAAGACCTATAGGTTGTAATTGTGGTTAACAAACCTATAAATCTCCACATTTTTCGGAAGTATAGTGTCCACGACTGTATCCAGTCATGGCTGACTATGAAAGCTGTTGGCTACAGTGACATACCGTTTTTCTGAGATAATGCATATGTACTGAGTATGAAGCCTTTTAATGATACTGGTCTTGAATAATTACTTTTTTGCAGATTGTTTCTTTATGATTAATTTTGTAACATATGTTACACCTGTGATTTTTGAAGGGGTGTTCTAATGAAATTAGTTCAGTTAGCCCCACATTTAAGAAATCTTTTTCCAGTAGTCTATTGATAATTATGAAATGAGCAAGGTGGAATTGCAGTTGTAATGTTGATTTACATAATTAATTTTGTTAAATGCTTCTTATATAACGCTTGTTCAGGATAGGTTGAATAGTGTTTAAAGCTCTTGAATTTCGACTACTGGGTTGTACGTTTGAACTCTACCTCGGTACAGAAAATTAGGTAGTATCAATAGCCCTTACATATGATGTACCGAATCTGAGTAAATAAACCTGTACTAGGTAAATAGATTACATTAAATACTTGCTTTAGGTGCATACATACTGGCACATGAAGCAAGGAATAATTATATTTGAAGTAATTAATCGGAAGAGTTCTAAATTTTAGAAGAAAAAAACCTCATAAATTCAATAGACTTTAAGTGTTTGTAGTGATTTTTGAATATTTTTCAATCAGCTTTAACTGAAATACTATTCCAAACTAACTACAAAGATTTGCATTCCCCACTTATAAGGTGAATAGCGTCTATATTCAAATAAGCAGTTTTCGAGTAGTTATTTCAACATTGTTTTTTTTTAATTTATTAAATCAACTATTTCATTACAATTTAATCGTAGCAGATGAGACTTGAACTAAACAAATTGCAAATATGACATGAAATAAAAATATGATTACAAACTTATTACAACAACAGTATGAACTTAGTTGAAAATGGAACAAAATAAAATTCATGAGAAATAGATAGCGTTAGCAAAAGCTTGAGAAAGTATTTCAAACTAAAGTTATGAAATAACTTGAAGAAAAATTTATCTGATCAATGATTGTATACATTATTAACAATACTTGCTAATTCTGTACAGAAAATAATATAAACAAGTTACACGGTTTATTCGATCAGTATGAATTATAATTACACATTCTTAATATACAAGTTCAAGATGATTATGCAGTGATCTCACTTTCATTTTTTACTACATTCTGTGAATTATCGACTGGATCATCTTCGCCACATTCAAAACGTACAAAGTCTTCAAGAACCATTTCATTCCGTAATAAATGCTCGCCTACACGTATAGTTTCATCCAATAGAAAAGGTTGTAGCAGCAGAGATTTCTCTTCTTCCGGATCGTCAGCTGGATTTTCAACAGATTCTAAACCAGGGTTGGGATTCATGCCGACAATGTGCTGACAAACTTGCCTGCCTAAACGTGCAGCTCGTTCATGCCATGCATCATTGACAGGCTGATATGAAACGGAAAAACAAAACGAATGGGTTAGAAGGCTTAACCATCGGGTATGATAAGATATATATAAAAAATAAAGCCCACTATCATATGATTTTAGATGTACGATTATTCTTTACAGATGGTCGACACGGTTACCCAGTTTTAAAATAGTGGATGAGAAGATTGATTAATTGTTTAAAAAGCTGTGTTATATCCAATGGAATATCAAGTTATGACATAATTGACTAAGTAGAAAAAGTCCTTGTTTCTGTTTGATATTCCACATACACTGATTAGCATGCAATGATTTATGGTGTATAGTCGGAGATATATTAAGGGTAGCAGAGTTATGTTATGGCAAACATCCATGAAGTTACTAATTGTTGGTCTAAGCCTTAAAAGATAGAACAAGAAGAGAATATTTTAGATGGCACCTCGTGTTAAAGAATTTGGGAACTGGGCGTAATTCCATGCAACTGGTTTCAATCCCCGATTGTTTCAATTTACGAGAAAGGACAAAAGTCCTTTTGTGACAATCACAGTTGAATCAGTTTAAATAATATAGTGTCTAAACTGCTGGCCTCGATAATAATTGAACACCTAACTTCAGCACGTGAATAGACTCGATAAAACCAGGCTGGTTTCAGACCAGGACGTGGATGTATAGACCACATATTCACACTACGACAGGTCCTAGAACATACACACATTTAGGTGTCCGATAATAGTTGTCATCCTGGAAATTAAAGCAGCATTTGACTGTCGGTCAGTGTCTGTCGTTGAAAGGTATACCAGAGAAGTACATTAACCTTATACAAGTTCTCTACTCCAACACCACTGGTCGAGTGAGAGCTTATGGCGAACTGTCATCAGAATTGATTACTTCAAGTGGTGTTTGTCAGATATTCATAGGTTACTAGTATTCGATCACAGATGTCTTAGAGGCATTGCTCGTGTATCGTCGGACACACGAGTAAGCAATGCTATAGTTATGAAGCGAGTACTAGGTAAGGGTGGCAGATCAGTTGATGAAGTATGGAAACTTCATCAGTTGAGGTGCTTGGGAGATGAGTTACGAATACCTAACCACCGACTGCCTCGACGAGCTATGTTTTGTGGTGTAAGAGTAGGCTGGGAGAAAGCTAGGGGCGGCCAAACCAAAACATGGCACAAATCCATCAAGTCACTGACAACTGGACTGAGTCATGTTGGCAGATGTAGGCTACCTGGTTGGGGTCCGTGTAATGATAGTAATCGACGGTTAGAGACCTTGAATGATAGCTCAAAACCATCGGCATTGGCGTAGGTGCATCCGTTCTTGAGCTTCTCTCAAATCCTAATCCTCTGGATTCGACATCGTTTATCTTTCTCTTTTTAAGTTTATTTCACTAGATTATACTTCTTGAATAATATCTTCGAACTATAACCTCTACGATTACTGCCAATATTTCTACTACCTCTACTACTATGGGATTCGAAGTGACAATTGTCAGTCAGTCAGTTACAACATATAACTTCGTACGTACGTCATGCAAGAAGCGACAATTACGTCTCTGTGCTAATGTGGCATGGCAACATGAACTGATGTACATACGTACGAAGTTCTGCGTTGTAACTGGTTGACTTACTGTTATAGAATCAAAAGCTAAGAGAGTGACTTATGTTGCTAAGGCTGTAAAATGCTGGTGTATTTTCTATTTAAAAAAGATTAATCAACACTGTTTTCAAAGAACGATACAGTACTGTTATTTGAGTTGGATATTTCAACGTTGTAGTAAGTTTTGATGGAAACTTAAGCATAGTATTGTTAGTGGGACATAGATGGAATTAAAGGTTACTTGATAAACGGAAGAGGAAGTCAGCCTCTGGTTTTCAGAATAGCCTTGGCCGCTGTACGAATATGAAAGCTCACCTACCAGTGAAAGCAGATGCAAAACCTGTTCCACGTCCGAGA